AGATACTATTTTTTTGAAAGAGTGGTAAAATTGGATGCATAGCGAGAAATTTAGATGGTTGAGCAGATTGGTTTTTCGTCTGAAAAGTTACTAACATAGAATAATGAAAAGTTTATTTTTTGTTCTTGTCACGAATGGCCTTTTTCTCTAATTAATGTCGTCCTAAGCGCGCGAAAATTCTCGGAAAAGGCTACTATGGCTGCTCAAAATCACTCTCCGTCTCGTGCAGATGGAACAGACGATGCGTAATTTGTCGGCGCGCGCGCCATCGTTCGGCAAGTTCTTCAATGTGCGTCATTCTGTCAATTGAGCAGCGAAACTCATATGAATCAAAGCAAAGACAAGACTCCATGACGGGCGATGTCGAAATTTCCTATCCCTTCGACACTCATATTCGAACGGCCAAGCAGGAAAACTCGTCCGTCGAACGCGGCTTTACTCGCCACGCCCATCAGCGCGGCAATTTACGATTGTCTTGTCGCATACCCCTTGCAATTTGATGATTACGCTAAAGTACTCTGACCCATGCTTTGAAGATTGCTACGATCAAAAACCACTTATTGAACACTCAATTTTCCGAAAAAAAGGCGTGTCCACCATATTTTAACAATCGAGAGGTTGGACTGAAGATAATGGGCTTATTTCACCCGAAGATGGGTTTTTTATAGCTAGAGATTTTCCCGTTCTCAATGATCGTATCGTTGCCGCGCCGGCTCCGTAGATATCCCTCATATTGGACCTCTCGATTCTACAACAACAGTTACGAAAAAAGAAATATAGTAAAAAGAAAAGTTGCAATGTTTCTTAAATGCAGGAATTGCCCTTGTAAGGACCGGCATTGCCTTCCAGTTCACTCTATTATCGACCTACTCAATGTAGAGTCTTCCTGCATTCTTCGGAAGAATGATGCACTTGCGACGAGTTTTTATGTCAAACTTGAAACAGCAATGTTTTGAAATGTTTCACATGGTCTAATGTTTTCAACTGTTTTTTTTGACGCCATTCGCCACTATACTGTACTCCAGTTCGCTGTGGATGAAGGGGCGTGTCAGGCAGTATGAGTGTGCCACGGCGCCAAACCCGTTCTCTGCCAGTTGTTGAAACGGGTATGCGACAACAACTGGTGAAAAGCGAAGGATACGAACGATATCTCGTCACTTACTCGCTTCAGCAACTGTGTAAAACAGGTTTGGCACAGCGCCAAACTCATATCGCCTTACACGCTCTTTCGTCCGCAGCGACTAGACTATATTTCCGCCTTATTATGCAAATAAAACCTGATGCGTAGACTGTGCTTGCATAGGCTGGTTCTGAGCAGGACGCCATCGTGCGATGATCACAACGAAGGGGGGGGGCGGTCGTATCCTGGTGGTTGTGGGGAGAGGGACTGTCAAAGATCTATACAACACTACTATGTTCCTATATTAAAAATGAATTTAACTGACGTACCCCCCCCGCTGCGCCGACATGCAAATTTTGTGGAAAAAACCAGAAATGTTTCCCGGAAATTTCGGAAAAGATGGGTAGCGAGGTTAGGGAATCTAGGGAAGATAGAGTAGCATGGTCAGGGGGCCGGAGTCGTATTCTTCAGGAAATGATCACAACGCGATTGGATGCCCTGGTCTACCAGGTGAAAGGTTCTGCCCACAATTTCAGCAAACTTGACAGCCTCACAAATTGAAACGTTGTTCTAGAAAGTGGAAATACAAACTTAGCCATCAGCGTTCTTCAGGAAGTCTCTTTCAAGTGATTTCCAAAGCGCAGAAGCAGTTCGGCCGATGGCTCCCTAATGGAAGCGCTTCCTTCAATTAGCAAACGAATAACAACACAATTGTGCCTACGTTCCCTCTGCTCGTGACTCCAGAAAATCTGCCAAAAGGGGCTATTGAAGAGAAGAATGCCAACATTTCCCCTTTTTCTGACTGTTTTTACGCGTCTAAAAACTGCATAGCGTGACTTACAGCTGTTCAAAGGGGGGTCTGACGTTTGTTTTCAAAAGTACAAAGGACTCTCATAGAAATTCGTGCTGAGGCAGTCCTTTACCCGCAAGGAACGAGGCCGGGTGACGTGATACGTTTCTGGATATTAGTATGGCGTGGGCCGATTTTTGAAGTAAAGTTAAGCTTTTTCGAATCCTTCCTTTTTTAGTTTTAGTAACTATCTTATTGCACATGCGTATTACATTTGTTTAGCTGCTCGTAAGGGAGCGCGTCTTCAGGGCGGTGCGCCAGCTCGTTTCTTTTTTCTCGACAGACGAAAAAGCTGTGTTACATCGTTTGTACCAGTCACTCACCCGCGTCAGCACCTGGTGGGAACCCGGCCGCACTGGAGCACCGTCATCCACGCCAGATACTCCAGTATCTACAAGTTCTGCTAATCGAAAAAGGACTCCCTTGTGCCCTTGTATAGAATTCCATAGGATTTTTAGTGGAAAAGATCATCATAAGCTTGAAAATTCTGCTTACGAGAAACAAGGGGTTATGAAAATTCGGTGTCGCCCAGAACAGCTCCAAAACGCGCCATGCACTTCAGCTCCTATGAAAATTTGCAGAAGCAGGGCACGTCCTGCAGTTGGGGAAAAACTTTGAAAACTTCAACCCTCCCCAGTTGCCCACCATTTTTCTAGATTTTCCCGACTTCCTGTCAGTTTTTCCAGTTTCTCCCGAATTTCCCGGGGATTTTCTTGTTTGTCCTGGTAATTCTGCTCTCGAGCTCTCGATGGGGCACATCATTAGTTGGGGATTTTGGTCGAGTCCATACGACCCCCCCCCCACCTGGTTCTTCCTCATCGAGCTGTCCAGCGAGAGCATGTTAGCTATCCTCCCAGACAAGTTTGGTAACACTTTGCCAAGTTGGATGACTTAAAGGCATCTTAGGCCTTGACCCCACCTTCCCTAGTCTACTCCATCACCTCTATTCTACAACTTGCATACCAGTACTAACTGGTTGATTGGAGAAGACCCATCCCTTTTCTCTGCTCCACGCTGATTTTCAAAGGTCAAACTAATTAGGTTTTTATGAGATCGGGAGGACGTGAGAGGAATTTAGGAAGATGATGGATAGGATGGGGACGAAGTGTCGTACTGGAAGAAGAAATTCTGAATTGTAGGCGAGGGGGGGGGTCATATCTCACGTGCCTGGCCAAAGTTCACTCGGCTCGGCGATGTATCCAGAGGGTACAGTCTTGGTGCTGCCGTTGGGTTTGAGGCTGAGGGTTTTGAGCGCGTTTACCAGCCTCCTAATCACCAACCGCGTTGCTGAAGCAAGTAAGCGAATGACAACAAATTGGTGGACAACTAGAACGTTAATTATTTCGTTTTGCTATAGTTTAGAAAGCTACTAGCATATATACTATATATTACTGGGGGTTTGCTGTGAATAAACTTGTACAAGTTACCCCCCGAAAATTGTAAGATAGTGACGCTAAGGAGCAACTTTGCTCAGGTATCTCCACCTGACCCCGCGTTGGACGTCTGCCGTTTCACATGACGGGCTTTGCCAATGCTCCTCTCATTGCTCTTGTCTGGCATCTCACTCGAAATTGTAACGATTCTTCGCCTCTGGTTCAGCGCAATGAGGACTTTATTTAGGGGTTCTTGACGGGTTCCTCTGCTTTTTTCTGTACGAATAAGCGCAACTAGTAGCAGACAGCTTCTCTTTTTCTCCCACACCAAAAATTTTTAAGCTATCTGGGTATTCTGTCTGGGTGCTCTTCTCATAAATGACGGAATACTGGCTTGTTAAATTAAAGAGCGAGTCAAACTGATGCCACGCTGTGTGTGTACCACATGAGAGGCCCTATTGATGGTAGGCTTAACATCTGACAAGAATCCTCATTCCTAACCTTGCCCCCCGTTCTTCTTTTAGGCCTATTGCGAACTATCTCCCCTAACACACCATCGTTGTCCGAAACACCAGAGAAGGCGTGATTATTTATAATCCACAGAAAATTTTTGATTGTTGATGGTTTTTATTTTTTTCGCTGTGTTCAGTCGCAACAAATTTTCTAGTGTGGGCTCTCCGTGCCCATCCATTTCGGAGATATCACAGCGTGCGAGGGAATCTTTCGCACTTTACCTGCTTGAGTGTACTCGATTTTACCGCGGCCTCCCTGCTTCTTTACCTCCTCCCTCGCCCCAAAATGTGGTATAGTGACGTCTATGCAAAGGATAAGAGGTGGATAAGCTGAAAGTCATTGAGCCGGGAACCGAATGGAGAAGAGATGGGTACCGTCCGCACAGTCAGGTCAAATAACGAACTGCCCTATTCGCCTACGCGGACCAAATGCTACCTGCCCCTTCGAGGATTCTTCCGCATAGCGTGACTTTAGTTAGGCTCCATCCATATGTAGGGTCCGGATCGGACTAGGACTTACAAGCAGGATCAGAGCCTCCACATCAGTGTGGCACTGGTGTGTAGTGTAGGCACTGGAAAGCTTGTTTGGTGCGGTTTCCTAGCCGCCAAGGCCGTTCCAGAAACCATTGCTCGCACGGATCGTTGTCTTCGAAGGCATAGGCCAAAAGAATACAATTGCATTTAATTGGCGTTATTTATAAGGATTGGAGTCATTACCAGCGCTCTCGTATGGGCGGAGCTGGGCCTTACCCTTATCTTCATCATTGGCTCACTTACTTGATGGGATAAAGAGAAGGAGGGTACCATTGAAGGCTGTTGTGAATGCGAAATGACTAACAAGATTCCGGAAGAATTGGATTGGAGAATAAATAGAGGTGAGCTTGTATTCGGCTTCCGGAGGGCTTGGTTGACATTTCCAGCTAATTCCTAGGTTTAGGTTCGAATGTTAAGCTACCAGGTCTATCCTGGGTGAGGACGTGTAAACCTTGGGCGAAACAGCAGGAGTGGTACAAGGAGGCCTTTTTGGTTACGCAGAAATTGCAGATCATGTGCCGTCTTCTAGCCCGTTTTCGCTGAGTTTCCGTTTGGCTGGGCCTGCCACCTAACCGAACTGCGCAAAATTGAGGAATTTTTTGCTCGGATTATCAAGATGAATTAGAGCGTCGTTCCAGAACCTCATCGCCTGAGTCTGTGAAGAAATCCAAAACTGACCTGAATCCTACTGAAATTTTCGGTTGCGATTCCGGTAGCTGTTGGAGCTCCTGAATCACCGGTGTGGCCGATTCGTCTCCATCGTCCAGCAACGACTTGGCGTAGAGTATCGACTGGCATTCTGGTTCTGTCGAAAAACTCAACTCGGACAGCCATTGCTTTTGGCAATCATCCAATTTAGGCAAATATCCGGTATGCTGCAATGGGCTTTTTATTCAGCAAATTTTATGCTGTAACTCATAAGTTTACCGGTTGGCATTGTTCCATGTAATCGGCGCTCTCAAGTGAGTCCCAGTACCGTGCTATTCCAGTTGGCATTGCCTGATTACCGTCTCATATGCTATAATATTACAACAAAACTTTCGAAAAACTTAAAAATAGTGAACGTCAAAGACGCGATTGCCTTGAACAGCAAAAGGAGGCCATGGTGAAATGACTGAGAGAAAAAAAGGAGGAAAAAAGCTTTGATCCGATACAGGTCCGCAGTACAGTCCATCACTGGTCAGAAAGTGCTGCGACGTGATGTGACGTTTCATGGCGTCAATGGCGGGTGAATCGCAGAGAAGAAAAAACCCTTCCCACACCAATCCTTCGAGTGTTTATGTTGGACGCCATTTAGCGCTTACAGTGAGCATTCTTGCACAACAAGGGGGGGGGTGCGAGAGCTTTCAACAGGTGGAACTATTTCGAACTGTTTCATTTCATGTTGCAGAGGTGCATATGGGACCACAAAAGTGTAGTTTGTTCCGGCGCAAATCCGCTTTGAAGGGAGGAGGGTGTTTCGCACTTTCGCTGCTTCCGTGTGACTACAAAGTAAAGATCTGGTAGTTTGTTCAACGCCGCAGTGCGCGATCCGAAAGTTATCACAAGAATGCTGAGTTGTGGGCAAAAGTCGGACCACGGACGGGACTTGAACCCGCATCTTCTGCTTACCGGGCAGCTTGCGTTCCCTGTTACGCTACCGAGACCACCGCGATGCGGGTTCGATTCCCGTCCGTGGTCCGACTTTTGCCCACAACTCAGCATTCTTGTGGTGAAGATCTGGTAAATCTTGTGAAGCCATGAAGTGATACCAGTCAGAGTTTGTAGAGTGATATCAGTCAGAGTTTGTAGAGATCACCTGTGGACTCTTGTAAAACAATGAACACGACGAAGGGAAGTGTGCAAAATGCCCCCACTAAACCGAACTGCGCCTTCGTTTCTGCTGCGTTTAGCCGAACTGCTGGAAAAGCCAAAGAGGAGGCGAAAAAAAAGTTTTGAAAGTTTATGGTGAGGTCGGCGAGAGAACGCCTGCCTCTTTTTCAGGCATCTCCCACCACCCGCCCTCCAGGCTGCTCAATATT